GGGTGAGGGCGGCCCGGCCATCTCGACGACACCTCAAGGCGCAAGAGGGTCTGCCACACACACGTGCGGAGCGCGCGCCGCTGCGCGGCTCCTCGCCGGATCGGCCAGAGCGCCGCGCTCACTCGGCTCGACCAAGCCGGGCCATTGCATCGGCACCCCCAAAGCCGAGCAAGGCGCCGCGAGCAGAATCCTTTCCGGGCGGGCACGCCTCCTTACCCCTGCCTTCCCCCCTCACCTGACACAGGTCCTCATACAGCTGCATCAGCTGCCCCTGAGGCTCGCCCGCCACCAGGGCGCCCTCCTGCGCCGCCGCGTGCGCGCCGTCAGCCCTAAGAGACTTCGCCTCAACTAGGCCGCTCCCGGCCCCGCTGGGCCTGCGAGGCTCCCCGTCGTCGCCCTCGGTCGCGCCCACGGCGCCGTCTGCCATGCGAGAAGTCACAGAATAGAATTTTGGGTTGTTGTTCAGGGGTTTGGTGGCCGATGCGGCCCGTATGCAGCGTTTGCAGGTCGCGCGGCGCCGCTGGGCGCCCAGGGCCAGTGCGATGCTCACCGGACGCGCCGTGCTTCTGGGGCTTCAGGGCTGACACGAGTTCCACGCATCCTCTTAAGACAGCCAGCATGCTGTGTGCCAAGGTGCTCATGGGCTCGCGTGAGAGTTGCAAGAGGGCGATGAAACCCACGTGTAAACACACAAGAAACTTGCCGCCGTGTGAGCCCTTCGCTATCGATAGGAGAATGTTTATGATCGCCTACTGCGCAAGGATTGATGCCGTGCGAATCAGTTGCGCGCGATTCTTGGCAAGCAGCGGGCTGACCCGGTGGTTTGCGCAGAGATGCGCGAGGGTCGAGTATCAAAAACTAATAGCCTGAATTATTATAATAGGCTACCTGCATAAGGCGAGGACCACCCAATATGGCAGTCTTGGAGCGGGCCACGCACGCCGGCCCGGCGACTGGGGCGAAAATACCCTGCTGGGAGGCAGGTCCGGGGCAGGGCTTGATACAACGGCAACCACGATGGGCGCATGCGATCTGTGTGCCCAAAGCCGAGCAACGCGCAAGAAACGACGGTGCTTCGCGGGCCTGGAATTGGCTGTACTGCCTGGGACTGCGCATCACCATCTGCAGTCCGGTCCGGGCGGCCGCGCGTCACTGCAAGGCCTGGTCTGCACTGCTGACCGGGCGCGGCCCTTCCCAGAACTATGCCTTGTGCGTCCTGTGCGCGCCTTGATCACCGCCAGAGCCTTGACAATCGCGGCAGGACAGCCCCGGCTTGTCATGACAGTCCGCAGCTGCAGCAGGAAGCTGCGCGATCCCGAGCCAGCGCAGTGCGGGTTTCGCCGCGGCGCCGGCGTGGAGAATGGTGGCGCCGCACCCGCGTGGGCATGGACGCGACTCCGAGGGGGCTGCCGCCCTCCCAACAGGTGTGGCATGACCCCAGTAGGTGTTGTCGAATTCCCCTAGGCATTGTCCCGGTAGGCATCAGAATATTCTCATAAGTTAAACGGCGGCCGACGCCGGGAATAAGCCTGGCGCGCGCCGACAGCAGCGGCGAGGCCAGCGCTCAAACAAAAAAGGGAATACCTTTGGAGGCCAGCATGAGACCGCAGCACACAGCAAAGCCCGTGGGGTTGTTTGAGCAGGCAGGGCAAGGCGGAAGAACCCACCCCGAAACGACGTTCCTGCATGTGTGAGCAAAGAAACGCAAGGGCAGGCGCTGCCACAGCAACATAGCGTCCGCCTCCAGGGCCCGCCACACCCGACCAACCCATGCACTGCCGCCCATCCCTAAATGCGGGGTGGGCGCTGCCCTGCGCATTGGGTCTCAGCTCTCGTCTGGGGTCCCGAGCAAAGACACGGACCCCACGCCCCGGGCCCGTCGGTCCCCGCCGCACAACAGAGCCCACTCAACCCTTCTGGAAGAACCTCGTGATGCTCTGCTGCCCGGGGGGCGTCGCGGCCTTCCTCTTGCCGCCCTTGCCCCCGCCCTGCTGCTGCTGCTGCTGCTGGCCGCCCCCATACACGGGGTGGTCCCCCGGCGCCTGGTGCCTGCCGCCGC